TATTCGTACCGCTATTCGAGACAGTATTACTATCAGAAACTGATCCCGCCCCACCGTGATCACGAATCAGCTTCAATCTGCGGTCATTATCCAATGAAAGACTCGCATTGTTCGGGTTAAACTCTGTCTTTAAACCCGAACCATCGACCCTCGGCCTTTTAAAGTTCCTATCACCTTCACTAACGTACGCATTGCCACCATATTCATACGGTAGCGGACCCGGTGGCGGACCGTGCGGTGGTGGCGGCGGCGGCGGCGGCGCCAAACCTTCTCTATACTGAAATTTACCATATGTGTCTAAGTCAAAATTAGGGGTTCTCTGCCACGGCCTGGGATTTTCAAACCCGTTATTCAGATTACCCACGAATGGGCTCTGAGTACCCATAAACGGGTCAAAACCGGGTCTTTGGAAGGGGTGACCCGAATCGTAAGGGAAGATCGGGTTTTGATTGAAGGGCGGATGCGGAGGGCAAAAGGGGAAGTGAGAAACTGAGCAAATCGGGCAGAGGGTACCTGGGATTGGAGGCCTATGCCGCCATTGTTGGGGTTGAGGGTCCATGACGAGCTCTGATTTGAAGATCGTCAGAAAGTGGGGAAATAATTGAAATTAGGGTTTCGGATACTGTGAGGGATGCTAGGGTTTCGAATCAGTCAACGGAGAAGAGAAGAGGAGAAGCATGGCCTGAATATTCCAGAAAAAAAAATAAAGCTGAAAAATTGTTTCGGACTTGCAGTTGAACTGTTGGAGGGAGAGGCAAAGCGGTAAAATTTTGGTAACTTTTCTACCGTTTACTTTAACAAAAAATCATATTTTTATATTATAAGTAAAAATTAATTTTGGTATCATTCACTTTACTTTTTATTTTGTTCTTACCGTTAAAACTTAAAAGTTTTCAAGTATTTTCCTTAAAATTTTAGAAAAACTATTGAAAAATACTTAAAAACTTTGAGTTTTAACGATAAAGATAAAATAAAGGGTAAAATGAATACTACCAAAATTAACTTTTTGATGTAAAAATATATTTTTTTTATTAAAATATACAGTACCATAAATTTTTCATTAAAATCCTTCAAATTTTCTAATGCGTCCGCTGCTTTGGTCTCAAACACTTGCGAGGCTTTTTAATGGAAACAACACGTGAGAAGCCACTCCCCATACACATGGGAAGCCACCAATTTCCCAGATTGAGGAGAGACATTTTTGTTGGAATAATACTTGCTTTCCTTCTTTGGATTCATTCTCACATTTTCAAATAACAACGTATATTTACCGTAGAAGTTTCATAATTTAAAAACTTATTTTTAACTATATTCTTTGAAACTCGATTTTAATTTCACTTTAATTCCTGAAGTTTAAAAGTTTGCTTTATTTTGCCCTCTGAAACTTAGATTTTGACCATATTTTACTCCTAAAACTTAAAAGTCATCTCTATAAAATTTGCTCCATATTGACTTAGATCTGTTAATTTTTTATGTGAGTTTGATTTGGATGCTCCAGGCTAATCAATTTATTTTTTTTAATTTATTTTAAAATTAATATTCTCTTATTGTTAGATATTAACGTATAATGGCAATTTATAATCAAATTTATTGCACATACGATGTAGTCTTATTAATTGTTGGGTCCCACATATGTTTCTAGAGGCGATTTATAAGTTTCAAGGATAAAAGAAAGCCCACAAGCCAAAGTGGAACAAGTTTTGAGTTTTAACGAGTAAAATAATGATTTTTGAGTTACAGGAGCAAAGTCATTTGAATTGAATTCCAGGAACGTAGCTAAAAATAAGTCACCGTTCAATGTCTTATATCTATTAAAAGTCATTTGAATTTAAGATCATTTAATCATTAAAGTATATCAAATAAATCAACGGTATAAGGACCAGGTAAAATATTAATCATTAGCCGTCCAAGTAATAAATCAACGGCATGGTGCTCAAGTTAATCTTTTGCCTTGCTTACACTCTTATCACGAATATTGTATTGGTCAGTGGTTGAAGATTCTCCACCGTTGGATTAAATCTGACGGTGGTCGACCAACATTTTTCTTGCACCCTATACACCAGGAGAACAGGAGAACTTCGTTCGCCTCCTTAACCTCTTGAAATCCCCCATATTCTTCCTGTCTGATTCTTCTTCTTAGTTAATTTGTCAATGGCTGGAAGTAGAAGCAAAGACCCGAAACCCAATTCAGAACCCGACCCAGCTTCCAAAAAAGCCAGGGGATTGACCATTGAAGGTTACCCAATTGAAGGTTTGTCCATTGGCGGCCATGAAACCTGCATAATCTTCCCAACTCTCAACCTTTCCTTTGATATTGGTCGCTGCCCGCAGCGTGCTATTTCGAAGGACTTCCTCTTCATCTCCCACGCCCACATGGATCACATTGTATGTGCTTCCTTCTGCTTGTTTTGCTATTTGGGTTTTGCTAATTACCTGTTTTTATTGATGCGTTTTTGTTTTATTTTTTCGACTCGATGGATGATGAGTGATGGATTTTTGGTTTTCCACTGACTTGCTGGTGTTGGGATTTTCTTATATGTACTTGTGATGGTGAAAGATTTTAGCTTTTCTATCGAAAACTTACTTCTTTTAGTCATTGAAGTACTTGAATAATACAAGGTGACATGATTTTGCGCTTCTTCGTTGGGTGTTGTTTTCAATTCGATACAAGTATATATATTGTATCAAGTGTTTGGTAAATGAGAGATTGGTAATGCTGCTAAATGATATACACTGCGTGGTTGTTCGTGGTTGTTTTCGACTATTTTCTGCACAAACACATGATAATTTGAGGGGTTTAATGGAATTTTCAAAGCTTAAACTATCTTAAATGCTGGGTCAAATATAATGGAAATGTTTAAAGAACTAGCATGCGAAAATTCGTGAGCAGAAAGCCGAAGATTTCTGATGGTTACAGGGCATTGTGTTGTTAAATGGTTGAAGAAGGGATATCTTGGTTTTTGCGCTGAGGGGGTGGGTATGGAATCAAATAGAAATTCAGGCAGAGTTCCAAATATCTTGAACTATGCTTAGAACCCAAGAAACGCAAGAAAAGAGAGAAAAGGGTCTAAAAAAAGGTTCATGTTTGCATCATTTGATTTTCCTTATCGTTTATGGATGGACCATTTTTGTTGATTAATGTGATAATATTTGGCCATGGTCAGTGGTACTGCACTTCTACTCATGATTTATATATATATGATAGGGAGGATTGCCCATGTATGTTGCAACCCGTGGGTTATACAGTATGAAGCCCCCGACGATAATTGTACCAAAGTGTATAAAAGAACTCGTGGAACAACTTTTTGAGGTGCACAGAAAAATGGACCAGTCAGAGCTGAAGCATAACCTTATTGGCTTGGATGTTGGTAATCATTGATTGCTAATAAGATTCATCGATCAGATGACAATTTTTCTTCTTCTGCCTTCTACTTGCAGAATCGATTTCCTGTTTATCTTATGCACTTTATGTTTGCAGGAGAAGAATTCTCTATGAGAAGGGATCTCATCGTAAAAGCCTTTAGGACTTACCATGGAATACCAAGTCAGGTATCCCATTTATTGTATATTTGTAATACTTTCTCGTTCGGAATTCTACTAAGACTTTGAGCAATAGCTTTTGTTGAGATTTATTGAAATACTAACTAGCTATGCATGATATATGACAGGGTTATGTAGTATACTCCGTAAAACAAAAACTTAAGCAGGAGTACCTTGGCCTTTCTGGGAATGAAATTAAAAACTTGAAATCATCAGGTGTTGAGGTGTGTCTTTAAAATCCTAGATCGCTTTTACTTTTTAGTTTCACCTTTAAAATTGATTGCATTTTTTTCGTGACAACTACCGATTGATTTTCCACTCTTGATTGCATTTCTCTTTTATTTGCAGATTACAAACACTTTTACAGAACCTCAAGTTGCTTTTACAGGAGATACCATGTCGGACTTCATAACTGACAGTAGTAATATTGATGTGCTGAAGGCAAAGATTCTTGTTGTGGAGGTGAATCACTCGCTTAAAGTTCATAGCATGTGTGGGGCTTTTATAAATGGTTAGTGTATAATGTGCTATACTTTTTTCCCGTCTTTCACGCAGAGCACCTTCGTAGATGACTCGGTTAAAGTGGAGCATGCCAGAGACTACGGACACATACATCTATCTGAGGTTCGTCTCCAGAGTAATTAGATTCTTTACTGCCTGCCTTTGTCAATCTATGATTTTCGCTGTATCTATCTAGGCTCCCCCAATGTTTGATCTTGTCATATCTGGACGGCTTTCTTTCAGATAATTAGTCATGCAGAGAAGTTTGAAAACAAAGCAATTCTTCTTATTCACTTTTCCGCTCGATACACAGTACAGGTACGATGGTCAGTTCCGTAGCTGCTTTGTATCTTTGTCAGTGAGCTATTGACATTCATGCTTGTGTTTTACCAGGAAATTGAACAAGCTGTGTCAGCGTTGCCTCCTCCTTTAGCAGGCCGAGTTTTTGCACTTACAGAAGGTATTTGATGGCAAAGCTAGTCAGCTGCTTTGGTCTTTTCATGGCATCAATTTTGTCGACTTAAATGTCTGCACTGAAGACAAGCATATGGCACGAGAAACCTCTGATGCAGGCGGATCTTCAGCATCGTGGACATGATATGCTGACACAAGATCGAGAAATGAGTACGAGAACACATAGTTAGGCAATCCAGCCCTTTCGGGTTTTAATTTGCTTATCGGGTGTTCCTCTTGTATAAATCCCATGTATCTCAGTAGCTTCTCTTCCCCTTATTGATCAAAATTAAAGAGCTGGGCTAGCCGTTGCTGATTTGTAGCCATACTCAAGTTCATTGATCTTATATATTAATTTGAAATTGTTTTAAGGATAAAACAGATGAATCGTGAACATTTGAAATTTAGAACTTTATAGTTACTGCAATTTCTGCAAAAAAAATTATAATTTCACGAAAGCAATTCAGGAAGAAAATAAAACATAGTAATGGAAGCTAGTTCTGCACTCAAACTTCAGCCATCAATTTACCAGCTACACTGGCCACAGAACAGCAGAACCTTGCTTCCAAGGCCACCGAAGCAACCAATTCGTTCATCGATCTCAACTCTTCGTGAAACTCCGGATGCAACACCAATGCAGAGTAATTCTCATCCAGTACCAATCCGATACATTTCACAACATCTTCGAGTTTAGGAACCCAATCACAAGCCTTCAAACCTGATGCTGTTGATGCCTGAGGAAACCTCTCATATTTCTTCAGCCACTTCCCCAAATACCGCAGCAAACTCTTCATCTCCTTCCCACTCAACTTACTAATCGCAGCCGACAACATCACCTCATCGAGGTTCTTCGAAGCCAACAGAAAATGCAGACAGAGTTCTGCCGAAGAGAACCCATCATACGCTACCATGAGCAAAACTGCAGCATCTTTTGCAACTCTTAGTTTCTTGTCGGAGAGACTCTGATCACCCGCTTTCTCAACCGTGGCCAATGCCCGGCTCTCCCATTCCTTCCTCACATCCGCAAGGCTAGCATAACCGTCTTTAGGCGGATCCAGAAAGTACTTCAAGATCAGCAGCAACTCCGACGACCTGAGATCAGAAGCATGCTTAACACAAAGACAAACCAACTCGGACCTCCTCTTTTCCACGATTTTCGGAACCAAACGATGATAACAAGAATTGGGGAAAACCCCATTTGCAATCAAAGCACCTACCAAATCCCAAATCTCCAACACCACACAGGCTTCCAAAACCAAACCAGCAACATCCTTGCCCATCAAGTTCCCAACTTTCTCAATCAAAACCCGGGCATACCCATCATTCGACGAATCGACCCCAATCGATTCCCCAACTCTCTTTTTCTCCCAAATGTTCTCGAGAAACGGATTTAGGGTTCCCAAGAACTCAACTTTGGTGAAACTGGTTGGGTTTTTGAGCTTCTTTTGGAGCTTGGTGAAGAACTCCTTTCCCGAATCGATGAGCTCGGAGTCGGTTTGTGAGATTTTCCATCCGGTGAATGGGATTGCAGCTGCCGAGGTATTTGGGTCGTCGAATTTGGGTTTCAAATTGTCAAAAATGGGTTCCGGGTCAAGAACAATGGGGTAATCTGATGGGGCGACTTGGGTTTGGGATTTGGCCGAGGCTCTGGCAATGACTTCGAGCAACGACATGGCCAAAAATCAATAAATTTAAAATTAAGAAAAGCAGACTGCCGTGCGAACCTGAAGAAGCGCGGAGCTTTGGCAAGTGCGGCGGCGGAGGAGGCGGAAAGTGCAGAGATTGGGAAAAAATTACTGGTGCTGACTGCTAAGTTCTTGCTGAGCAGAGAGAGAGGGTTGAGGAAGGGTTTTAGTTCGCGGAGACGAAAGAGGAGTTAGGGTTTTAGCTAATATTGGGCCCATTTTTCATCATTGGGCCTAAAATCCAATGGATCTATACCCATGTTGGGCCTTTATGCCCGTTTTAATTTTTTTTTGGTTGGTCAAAAGTTTTTGTTAATTTTTTTTTATTACAAATAATAGTAAATTTGGAAAGACTTTTTCAATTAATCTATTGTCACAATAAAGCCAGCGATCTAAAGCCTCCCCCTAGTGCCTTCCAGTCTAAGCGCTGAGCTGCTGGTTACCACCACGATTAATTTTGAAGTGTTTAAAATTAAGAAAACACGTAAATTTATCAAGAAGCCTACTATACACCAACCTAAACTGCATTGGTCGTGATTCTCACTTTTTTAATAAATTGTAAGAGACTCATGATTGATTTTTTTTTTTTTTTTTGAAACTCCTGATTGAATATTTCAACAATTCCCATATGATCCTCAACTAGAATAAAGTATCACTCCCTTTCTCCATGAGGCAGATATCACAGGAAGGAAAGAAGGCAAGAGGAAGAATAACTAACTAGAAGACTTGGAGAAGAAAATCCCCTTCATTTTATTTCTAACCAGAGAAAATGTCGAAATGGTCAGCGGTAGCTGCTATGTCCTACATCAGTGATGTAACTGAACCTACAACTACATGCTTATGAAGGCGCCGCGTTCTTCTCTTCGAGTACTAATGACGCTCTCAGGTAGAAGGTGGAGTTTGCCATTGCTTTGGCACTGGACCAACATCGTAGATGATTTCTCTATGGCAAGACCACACCAGCTTTATTGCTTCTGGGGTCCCAATGCCAGCTCCCCTCGGGTCTCCAGCCGGTCCAAACCTGTCACAAATCATTGTTTGACATGTATAAATGCTCGGAGATATTCTCATGAAGTACTCAAAGTTTTAAGAGATTTTGTACTCACCAGTGATTCTGTGGAGCTCCGGTTGTTCTTGCTCTCAGTCCAGCATAAGTAGTTCCGTTTACCGTGTTCCCAATAACTTCCTGCAAATAGACGTTCGGAATAAGGAAAATGGAAACTGGGCAGTTGATTCAGAATCCATCCTTTTAGTTAGAAGTGAACTAATAAGATTTCATGAAACGGCTCCAAGGGCCAGGCGGGTTTCAAAAGTTACGCTCATCAGGTTCATTAGTTTGTATTAACCCCATTCTAAAGCATACGATAACTAATGTTTACAAACTTCTTTAAGCCAGGGTTGTAAACTTGTATGATGTTCATTATGTATTTCAAACGAAGAACAATATGTGATTGTAAAGAGACAAAGGTCAAATCTTGCCTGTAGAAACAGTGGATCGTTTGAAACGACAGCAGCTGTTAAATGTGCATGCATCCTCTCTAGAGCATCCAACACCAGTGGGAGTTGATCGTTCTTATAGTCGGTAACAATCTAGGAGCAAATAAATTAACGTTAGTAGCTGTGAGAATTGTCCCACAGTAGCAATTACCTTCTAGATGTGAAAAAAGTATTAATGGTCCAAATAAAAGATGCACAAGGAAAAAAGAAAAATAGAGAGCTCTCTCTGCTCGCCCCTCAGCCTGGATTCAGTATTCGAGCACAAAATAAGAAGCCCAAATGTTTACTCTCGGTGATCCTCTCAAGCACCAGCCAACTTTCAAGTTGTCTAGGTTTTTAAATCTTTTGAATAATAAAGACCAATGTGCAGTTCTAAGGAAACTCGCAAGTCCTCGCCACACAAACTTTGACAAAACAGTAAATTGAATATGGTAAATAAAGCTCGGTAAATTACAAAAATATGATAGGAAAAGAAAGAACTTTGGCAGCAATCTTTTTCTTTGTTACCTGAAATGGCCCAAAAATTTCTCTTGTTACGAGTTCATAGTTCTTGTCCTTCAGTATTTCTTCAAGTGGAACAAAAATGGCCGTAGGTTCTATAGCACCATATACGGGTGGAATGGAATGATTCGTTAAAGGTTCGCCCCCAAAGAGTACCTTTGAACCTGGTATCTGAAGTAATTTATTCTTGTGTTCTAGCATTGCTTCGGTCGTGAACTGCATCAACAACATAAGCATGTAAAAAGATAGGCTGTTAAGTTGGTACAAAACAGGACAGGTAATGTACGTACTGTAAGGACAGGGCCAATGGTTAAATCTTCTAAATTCCTTCTCTCAGCCAGATCTTTCATTTTGGATAGAAGTGACGTCTTAGACCAGTTCTGCACAAATATATATAAGATCAACGATAACAAAAATGTTGACAGTTTCGTTGAACTTGAAATTTCTCAACAAAGAATTACAGATTCCAGAAGGTTTGAAACTGGAGAGCCTTACCTCATGGATGAAGAGCATCGATTGTGCAGAGCACTTCTGACCACTACATGCATATGCATCCTGATCACAGACCCATGCAACATAGTCTTCCTGCGATATAGAAATGGAAACAGATAAATCAATAACGGACGTGACTCTACAAAGAAAGAGTTGTATACTCTAGAAACATAAAATTGTCGTAAGAAACCTCATGAACGTCAGGCCCTAAAATCTTCCAGTCAAATCCTGCATCTTCCAACTTAACACGACCCTTCAGGTCGCCAGCCAACTTATCTGCCACTCTTGAGCTACCAGTGAAAAGGGTCATTCGTGGATTTCCCTGTTGACACAATAGAAGTAAAATGTTCATTCAATCGACATGTCATAAGTTAGTAGTGTAACCTCTACGAACGCAAATATGTGGATGAGAGCTATGAGCGGTCTCTTCCAGAGATTATTGTACAGTTTCAAAATAATTGATTTGCACATTGAACCAACCTCTAATAGTAGCTTGTTCATTGTCTGCCCATCAGAATTTATGAAGTCAACATCCTCTGTCGGTAGCCCACAGTAATGAAGCAGCCTCATCATTTGCTCCATAACAATGCTTACCTACAAAAAAAAAATGTTTGCTCACCAGTTAAATTATAACAAGAAGAGATCGCAAAGAGAAAAAAGTATCTAAAAGCTACCTATAAGGGGTTTCAAATAGATCAAACAATTGATTTAGACTCAGAAAGTTAGCCTAGCATACCTTACTATCAACTTTGAGGACTGGTTTGTTACCCATATAAAGTGCACCCATCAACTGAAGTACAGGAATTTCTAGTGGAAAATTAAAGGGGGTAATGATTGCAACCTGAAAAGAGAGTCATTTATCATATCCAATTATGAAAATAACAAAATTTTTTCTAAGAGCTTAAGGTTTTGGGGGTACAAACAAAAAACCAAGTATGTTCAGAGATGATGCTTACAGGACCATAAGGCCAACGGAAACCATGACTTTGCTGTCCAAGATGATTTCCAGGCACCCCAAAAGATCTTGCAAGGAAGCGGACCTGCCACATATGTGTTAATCAAGACAGTAACGAAATTTGAAAGAGGATTTTATGTCAATTTGATTACAGCAGTGGCATTGTACTGTGCTTAAACCGAGAGTATATAAATGAAATGTTATTCTATGCCTATACCATGTGGGACAAGGTATACGAGTACAGTAACATTTCATATATACACTGAAAACATAAAGGTCAACTGCACTGAATGTACCTGATCGCTGGAGAAATTCTCAAGAAATTTTTGAGTGACATAAACTTCACCAGAAGCCTGCTGGTAACTCTTTGGAGCAACCCTTTGTATTAATCTTGTGAAGAAATCAGAAACCTGACAGCCATACAATCATAAAATTATTAACGAAACTACCGTATATGTCAGAAGGTTGAACTGCATAAGTCTCAATTCAAATACAGGAAAAAGGTAAAAAACAAGAACACTGTCTGCTGTACAATTGTTACCTTCGGCAAGGAAAGCATGTGACCTGCCTTTGCAGATATGTCCCCAAGCATAAGATACCTGCAAAAAATGGTCTACAGGTTTCATTTTGTTTTCAAAATTTAAAGAATATCACAGTCAAACTCTTCAAAACAGAGAACTTGATGAAATTATATGACATGATATGCTATCTATTTGAGAAATCTAAGGAAACACAAGATGCCTAAAAATGAATGAGAATAAAGAACAAGAATGATAATAAACACAAACCTCTCTGGTGCTTTGAATGGATTGTGAAGACCATGTTTGGGGCACTTGGACAAGCTCTCCACAAACGGCTGCAGTACCAGTTCAACAATTCAAAAAAAATAGTTGCGGTCATACACAGCGAAAAGGATACTTGTACACTGCAATATGCAGGCATACCTGTATTCCTGTTTCATCAACTTCGCAAACTCTAATGAATGGCTCCCCATTTAAAGGATCCAAAATTGTGTTCCATCTATTAGTGTTCTTCCATTTACCCTGCACTGAAAAAATACGACATTTCTTTTTTAATAGATTTCAATCCTTAATTTTTTTTGTTCCCAGTCGGTTTAAATGAGAGGTCCACACACCATTGTATTAAAAGTTAACAAAGAAAATACTAACAAAAAAGTTGATGCAAAGAAATTGTTCAAGTTTTTAGTCTTCAGTTATAACTCCAAGACATTGCTGTTCTGAGTGCAGAGCACTTTTCATGAGAACCAATTTCTGCTGCCAAATGACACATACTGCTAAAATGTGTGAACATACCCAAGTTGAGAACTTCAGCAGGCTGTGAACCCGATATCTCTTCCACTTCAACGGTTGCAAAGGGTACCCCATGAATAGATCTGCCATAAAATGGGGAAACCGAAACCGTAAAGATTATCGCTAGAAAAGCCATTACAAGTAAGACATACAAAAATTGTCAAATTCTTCAATTATACGGCAGGAATATGGCGGCCTAAAACCAATCCCCCAGCATTTTTGTTCAATCATAACAAATGCTACAACAGAAACATCATCAGATACAGATATTCCACTCTTATCTACTACAATTACACAAATTTACAGGTACGGTATGTCTTGAATTAAAAGCCAAATGCATTACATTTCCAGAGGTGGATGCGATGGGAACATCGATCCAATTAAAATCAAAACAAAGACGAAAATTTTAATAACTGCAGACCAAAACAAACCATCCACGATTAAAAAAAACCCACATCTTTCCAGTTATCCGAGTCTACAAAAATCATCGGCATCGATCAATCAGCCTAAACAAATCAAGTCTATCATCATCCATAAACAAATCAAAACATTCGATCATACAGAGCAAAAGATAGCGACTTTTTTGAACCACAAAGGCAGATTTCAACAAAACAAGAAAACCCAAAATCCAAAGTTGCATATAATCCTCAAAGCAAGACAAACCCAAATATTTTTTAAACATTTACAACAAAACCCAGGAAGCGAAATCCAGTAATTCATCCAGGAAACAGAGAATCACACCTGGAGATATTGAGTGAAGTGAACCAGCTCAAGGCCGTTTGCGGGGCTCTGGCTCTGAGTTGCCTTGAAACCAGAATCCTGTTCATGGTGGCGGATGCAGAAGTAAACGAAATTTGATTTCTTGGGTCCTCTCTGTAACTGTAAATATAAATGGATAAGCCGCAGGTCGAGCTGAAGCTGTCACTGACTCGCTCTCACGCCGCAGTCTTTGCATTTTCTGTTCCTGGATTTATGACTGCAATCTGTTACTGACTGCTGCCACCTGCCACTTCAGTTTTACACCGGATCCTTGCGAGACGACATCCATAAGTAAATCGTGTCCGTTCATTTTATATTACGTTAATCAAAATTATTTTATTTAAAAATAAACATGAATAATATTTGATAAAAACTGACCATATAATGAACAATCGTATCCGTTCATTTTATATTATGTTAACCAAAATTATTTTATTTAAAAATAAATATGAATAGTATTTGATAAAAACTGACCACATAATGTATGATAAATGAACACGATTCACGGATCACTAAGATCCTCACCAAAAAAATCTGGAAAGGATTCTGTTGGGTTTTTCATGTCCCAATAGCACAAAATCGTAATTTTGAAATTCTAGGTTATGGGGAAGGACTAGCATGTGGAGCATACCAAATATTTACAGTGGACACTCATGGTCTGATCGTCATCAAGCATTCACAGGAAATTGCAGTGCCAGTGGGCACGAAGTTTGATTGGTTTAGCACTTTTTGGGCTTGATTTTGGGCTCTGAACTGTTATTCTGGGCTGGCCCATCCTCTATTGTTTAGTCTTTTAACTGTGAGACCATATTGGGAACTAGGCCCATAGTGTTTTTTTATTTTTTGTTCGGTCTGTCTTTTGTCTTTCTTCTCCTATTTTTTGTGTCCGTAACCAGTGTTCGATAAAATACCTAACTCAAAAGGGCACGACAGAAATCGACACTACATGGGCATGACTCGGCAAATACTCACTAGAAACTCAACGAAATATTCCAATGAAGTTTTTTTGGCCAAATTATGACCACATTGTTATAAAATTCTGACTCTGTCTTAGGGATAATCTATTAGATCCCACATCCACACTAAACGAGCCTCAACAGCAAAATAATTAAATTAGAAATATCGATCAGACTACCCAATAAAAGTAAGGGCATCAACAACAAAGTTCACCTTGCGAAAAAAAAAAAGTGATAAAAGCGACGTGCCATCTTTTAAATATTCAAAACCAAAGTTCGAAGAGACCAAAGGGTAGAGCAAGCACCATTAATAGCATCAATGCCAATTTATATCCATGTTTTGAAAGCCTTTCGAAATAGTAGGCTTTGAGCCCATCAGTCAATGCCTGACCTTCAACATTCAATATATTCGAGAACTCAACTAGGCTGTTGTTTAGTTTTTGTCATTTTTATCGTGTTTTTGGGCATTTGATATTCCCTGCAAGTATAAAAATTGTGAGACTAAAACACAGTTACGTGGTATAATATGTTAGAATAATATGATATAAGTGCATGTGTTACGTGGTATAATCATATCATATGTTAGAATAATATGATATAAATGCATGTTCACTCATATTCTAGCAAGTGTATTTGTTATATTATGTAGTTCTCATATAACACAATATGTTTTTTGCCAACCAGTATTAGTTGAGTTGATAAGGATCGTTTTCTTTACTAGACCAAGGTTTAGATTCGAGTTTTACTGCTGACAATCTATCTTGATGGACAACCTGTAAAAATCATAAAAGGAATTAAGACTGCCTTGGTAAGTCCTCAAGAGACTTGTAATATGTCTGATCCTGGGATGGGGTAGCTTCCCCTCTCCCTAAACTTTTTACAAACACAAAATATGTTTTCCTCTATTAATTAAAAAGAAAAACAATTTGGTCCGTGGAATGTATTTGTGTACCTAGGCTTTTCATTTTGTACTAATTATGAAGTGACTATTCATGTTCCATAGAAGGTTCTTTTAGACTTGCGAGTCATCAGAAGAAGGTTCAAGCCATGGTCAATGGTCTGCAGTCACCTCTGTCGACGGTCTTAGCATTTTTCCTCATTGGTTCCATTTAAGGCTTTTCTTCTTATATTTGGTGACGGCTTCTAGACGTACCATAGTCATGTAAAGTTTGAATGTGCCCATCAACGGATTAATTGTACAAGCGCTAAGAAATTAAGCGTGAATCGCTCACGTCAAGAAATAAAGAGTTGAGCTGTTTTTTATATATTATCAAATGATTTTATAGTAGAATATTAACTCTCTCTATAGTCTCATAGAACGTTAATTAACGTGTTGAGTTCAATGACTCACATCACCGAATATGTATTATCCATGTGTTAGTCTCAAAAGACTTCACATAAAAGCAGAAGTGTTGAGAATGTAAATCTCATATATATTTGAAAGGTAAGGAACCTTGCACTTCCTTCAAACTGTATGGATGATCGATCTTGAAGAGAAAATGTTATCAGCGAGACATGTTTATTCTTCAAGTCTCGGATGTTCGATCAACCCCTTGAACATTTTTTATTGAAACGTTTTTTATCCACGCAGAAAGAAATAGTTCTTAAAATATTGGATCGATGGGTCTTGCGTAAATATGTATAATGAGTCCGGATTGTCGGATGAGGAGGATTAGGTGAAAGGAGCCTAGAGATGATCCCTTTCCTGTATGATGTTCATATTGAAAAATGATGGTGCTATCCACACACCCTTTTACCTTCCACGTGCCTTTTTTAATTTTTCGACCGTTGAATCAAATAAATTGAAGAATAACAAAAAATTGAAAACGGAGACACCCATTGACATTTGAGAGCTTATACCAACTACTTCTATATCCTTTTTTTTTTTTTTCTTGCTAGATTCCACTTTAAACAATACAATATCTAGTGGGAAGCTCTTTAACAATTGACTCTAATAGAAAACATAATACATAATTAAGATCCATAAACATATATAAGCATGCATTATTATTTAGTTATTTGGTTGGTTGGTTCATGTACTCATATCTCAGTCATCTAAATAATTTGTTGACTAATTAGAATCTTTAATTATCCGAAAACGAGTAAAATCAACCATGATTAATTAAATAACACATAAAGCTTGTTAATTTAGTTTGAAGGCAATAATAATCTGCATGATTAATAACATGATTAGCATGAACAGTACCGCTATAATCTTACGATTTAATCTTTGCCTATTCTCTCCGGGCTTCCTCGATCTATAATCTTTACCGATTAATTGAATAATATTTTTCATGAAGATCATAAGGTAAAATTATTTATTAATGAGGATCAATTCAAGTTATCTGAACAGATTGAAAGTTACTTAAGTGTTTTTTTTTTGGTCAAATGATATATTTTTGTTAGATTAGTTACCGACAAGGTTCGAACCCACGCAATCATGCAGTAGCTCAACTCATTTTCACCATTAATGGCCACTTGCAAAGTTACTTAAGTACTTTCTCCAAGCTTTTAAACCCTAATAATTCTTCACAGTGTTAAAAGAAAGGCTTCTTATATTAAAACCTTCCACATCGTTGAATACACCCCATATTTGCTTTTTCAATTAAAATTTACCTTAATACACCCCCACATACTTTTCCATAAACACCCTCACACTTCACACTCTCAACATAAACCTTACATTTTCTCCATTCACCCCACTTTTCTTCATACAGCCCACACTCTTCACAATGATTTCATTCCTCTTTTTTTTTTTTTTTTTGTATGTGCTATGTACCGTTTGATACAAAATCATTCATGTCATACAAGTATTTTCTTAGTGCTATAGAGGATTCAAATAGAGGAAAGTAGAAGCTGCTTGGGGAACCTTACAAAAGTGAAAGGGTAGAAGTTTCGACACGATAGAGAGGGTTAAAAGCATAGATGGTGAGAGCAATCCGTTTGAATTTTTTTCCTTAACCTTTTTCCATCTAATCAACATTGATCTGCGCGAGGGGGTGTATATCAAAAATGATAACTTAGGAAATAAGATGATGATGTGAGGAGCTTAGGCTCTCTATGTCCATTTGGTAGTTAAATTCGGCAATATAAAGTATTGGCCTTGGCTGAGATGCACACTAAATGATATTTTATGCATCACATATCATACTCAAACACCATGCTGTAAATGCAAAAAATTGTCTCTTAAAGGCACAAATGCAATTTAGTATTATTTGACCATTAGATTATTTTTAGAACATGGCTTTTGTGAAACAGCATCACCATTATCTTCTTTACAAAAGAAGGGGAGGACTATAATCTGACACCAATGAAGTTTAACCTTCATCCACTTGTGACAATACATTTTGAATAAGGTGAAGCTTCCGAAACGTCAATTTCATGTTCCGTTCGTCAAAAATAATTTTTCTCAATCAACGTGTTTGTAGTTTCATCGGTTAGGCTTTTGTTCTACAATGGAGAGTGAGAGTGGTTTAGAGAGTGAAGAAGATAAATAGTCTTGTGATATACATGTTAAAAGTGATTTGGGGTGTATTTAGTATTTTTAATTTTTTTTTAAACCTTATACAGTTGAAATTGTCATTGCATAATAGAGTATACAAATCATTTAATATTAAATTTTAATGTGGGGGTGTATTCAACATTATGTGGGATGCTAATATAAAAAACCTAAAAGAAATCTTAAGCTTGAATCCAACATACACGAAAAAACTAATATGCAATTGCATGATAAACTCACCTTTAATTAGGGTTTCAATTAATAATGATTTGAAATGCGCGTAAAACAGAAACCCAAATCCCAAGTAATACTTTGATCACAAAAGTTGACCCTGCTTATATAATAATCCACTAGTATTTGTCTTAATATACAGCCAAGAATCTAGCAGAAGTTTCAAAGTGAGAGCGCATTGGTCACCAAAACGAACAAAAAATTGCGAAGACTTCTTGAATATGAATTCTCGATGCATATATATATAAATATATGACTGTAATTGAGTTGTCTTGAATTAATTATGTATTATCTAATGGAAACTTAATAGCCTGAAATACATATTAAAAATTTTAAATGAAACCACATTTAAATTAAAATAATGCTTATCCCGGATCAAATTAGAAGCGTGAA